GAAACTTGCACTTTATTGCACTAAAATTGAATGGGGTAAAAACTGCACAATTTTCTAAAAATTAAATATTAAGCAGTTTGAAATTTTGATGAAAATTCTTTTAAGTTTGATTAATTTTTGTGACATTTGTGCAAGCTTCGAAATATTTATTTATGCACATACGTGGTTTCTGTTATAGAAAGGTCATTCCATGTAAAAGAGGAAAACCGCATAAATTTAAATACGCCCTAATTATCTCTATTTCAGTAGTAACCTCTTTTTAAATGACTACATTTTATTAACCTGTTGAAAAATATTAAAAAANCTTATTAACATTTTTATTTTAATATTTTTATTAAGCTTTGTACCGCGATTTTGTTTATNAATATTTCTATGAAGATTATATAAACCTAATTTTTATTGAAAACGAAAGCATATCGACCCCTCTGCGCAAAATTATCGTATGTTACATATTTTACGAAATTCACTTGATGTAAGTNTATTTCGGAGATCACCAGATCTCCTCATCAGACTTCTTTTTTCTAGACTTGTTCTTGTTCTTCATCCCATAAGGCATCACCTGTTAAAATAATATATGTAGCTGAAATCCCTATAGCTACCATTAAAATTAACTGTAAATTTTATCGTATGTGACAATAAAATTTTTTCTTGTGGGCGTAATAGCAATGCTGTCATATTTTTTTTAGTTCTTCGACCTTCATAAATAAGATTAAAATAACATATTTACTTCCACGCCATACTATGATGTCAGTTGATTCTGTGCATAGTACAATTGAATCTTTTGTACGAAATCGTACTATTTGGGCGCCTAGTGAATGGCCCATAATCATTCGCAATGCACGAACCAATCCTTCAAGTTACGACTGCATCGAAATTGGCACTCTGAGTTAAAAAACTGGAAATCTTTTGCAGATGTTTTGTTACCCACCAAAATTAAAATAAACTTAAACGACGAAGATTAAAACTGTTTCAAAACATTAATTTTAATTAAACTTATGTCTTTGTTGAAGGTGACTATTGTTTAATGTTAATGTAAAAACTTAATAAAAAAAACATAAAACATATCTATTTCAAAAAAAAAGAAAATTTTCCACGAAAAAAGCTTGAGGTTAATTAACTTACTCAATTATCTCACCAAATCTAGAATTTAGTATTGATAATGCCAGCCAGAGCAGAGAAAAAAAAACTCCTCTAAAATTTGGTTTTTGTTGTAACATACGATAATTTTGCGCAAATGGGTCGATATAATTCATATTTTACAACACAAAAACATCGGTCGTCAAGATTAAGTGTTTTGGCTAAAATTTATATTTGAGTGCACAAGCGTAAAATAGAGTTCTTTTCAGCGTACCATTCAAATGCTAGTTACATAAAACTAAGAAATCGTTTAGTATTTCTGTTAAAGCAATTTTATACATTAGTTACCGTTCTTCAAAGGTGACACAACTCAAAATTACACGTTCGGCAGAAAATGCGATAAACTATTTCTTAGCACATGCTAATCATATGGGCAGGGAAGACTTTTCCTTATAACAAAAATTTGCTCCAGTTTTTGCTGAAAGGTAAATGCAACCTCTGTATACATTTTTAGTGCATAATTTCAAAAATTCCACATTTTGAGTTGTGTCATTTTTGTGAAGATGGTGTGCGATGTGTTAAAAAATATCTTGTACTGTTGTATAAGTTTCGACGACATAGTTATAATTCACAATCGATCACATTTTGGAGTAAAATGTCCCACCAGTCACAATGGAATGGCCCAGAATGAAATATATTTTAAATTAAAATTATTAAAAATGTATAAATTGAATTAAGTTTCAAAAAATATCATAATACATGCGCTATTCTTATCATGACGAACACAATTATTTTATTATTAATGCAATGTAGTTTTTTTTTTTAATTTGGGTGATTGATTTTATAGCTCAAAGTACAATGATTAATCAAAACATATTAAATGGTTCTAAAGTTATTTATGGTTTTACTTCACTCGAAGAATACAGATAGGGCAAATCCGAGAGATAGTAACCCAAAATAGGGATGTCAATGCATAAAGTTTGAAAGTTTGATTTATATGGTTTTGGTTGAAGCATGAACTATATTTTTATGAAAAAATAGCAAAAAAAATTTAATTTAAAAACCTTGCANGATTTATATGGTTTTGGTTGAAGCATGAACTATATTTTTATGAAAAAATAACAAAAAAAAATGTAATTTAAAAACCTTGCCAATATTTAACAAAAATCACCGTGTAGTCACTTCTGCTCCCCACTGTAGTGTTTAAAACTAAAGCTATTCAAAGCTTTGTTTCATGAAGTAGAGGTGGCGCATCGCATTTCTAAAATAAGTGTGAAAAGAAATATGAAATTAATATAATTTAAATTACATGAATTTTTTTCGTTTTTGGTTGATTATTTCTCGGATTTGCTCATATCTGAACACAGTATAATGTATTTTTAGAGTGAAGTAACACCATGAATAATTTTCGAACCATATAAAAATACTTCTAACTACTGAAATTTTATTCCTGTTTTGATTAATCATTGTACTTTGAGCTATAAAATCAATCGCCAAAAAAAAAAAAAAAAAAAAAAATACATTGCATTAAAAATGCAATAATTGTGTCCGTCATGATAGCAATAGAGAACGGGAGGGACGTTATTTAAACCAAACATTCATTTGAAAGCAAAGTTTATTGAGTTGCACGTGTTGCTCTGCTTAATGAGTTTACGTATTTAGTCGTGTACATAGGTACCTCCTCATCACAATTTAATACATACATATGTATGTATGTACATATCGGAAAACATTTACAAAGTTCAAGTGGCTATATTGGAAACCCACATACTATAGAAATACAGTGTGCTGCTCTATTATATTTTAAGGAAGCCTAGCAACTGTACTTTTTAGCGCATGTATCTTAATTATTTTTCATTGCATAAGAACATATTTGTACGATTATGTATATGAGAGTTTTGTAAATAGTTGTAACGTAATAACAGCAAAGTTCAATAGTTATGACAGGCTTATATTTAATTGTTATATGTTTTATATATGTACATACATATGTTATATATTTCTGGCACTTTAACTGAACTGCATATGTACCCTTTCCAATAACGTAGTAATCATTTCATTGCAACTTTTTTTCGAGAGCAAAACATACACTTTTTTTTTATAATAAAAATGTAATGTGTAATAAGGTGTGAATGTTAATGAAAAAAAGTCTAGTTAATTATTGGCGGAAGTTAATGCACGATTCGGATTCCTAGAAAAAAGTTAGAAAAGTTCTTAAGTAATACAATAGGTAGTTAATTTTTTTGTATATTCCTCATAAGTCGTAATTCAATAATTTTCCTGTTTAGATCAATGTCAAGAAAAATATTCTACTTGTACTGCTAGGAAAATCAATCTTATAGGTTTATACAAAACGGGAAGTAACTGATTCAAACGGAAACGGAATTTCGGGTTGCCATAGGGAAGACTAAAGTCAATAAAGCTAGGGCCAATGGTAAGGGAGTGTACGCCACTGATGGGCACTGCCTTGCCCACGGGCAAAGCTCTTTTAAGCTTTCTATACATTTTGTATAGCCGCGTGCAGAGTAAAAGATCTCTCTGCCCATCGCTGGTGTACGCTGAGATTAAATTTTCAATATTTGGGTGTTTAGGAAATAAATTGCATCATCGATGTTAGCAACTGTTAGTTACTACGCTATGTTAAAAAGAAATCACAAAAAAAAATAATTGCCACTTGGCCGAGCTTCTTCTCCCCTTCTGAGGCGTCCTGATGTCACAAAAATGGACTGTCTGCACTTTTACGCAGCCTTCGAACGGCAGATGGGTTTTTATGTTTTTATGACAAGCTGGTTCATGCCAAAAATACTCTCAGAATTTCCTAAGTGCAGGCGTATTTCACCTTATATTATCCGGTTTAAGGCATCCAATTCCGGACTATTTTGTGAATACCGGGATTTTCGGGATTATAACCATTAACCCTGCAAACCATTTTTCATGGTATTCTGAATTGTTGAGACATTTAAAAGAATTCGTAAAGAACTCATCCGATTTTTCACCGGATTTTCTAAAATTAAATCAAATGTGCACACTTCGTTTCGTTTAGGAAATTTCGGAAGAAAATCGGTAAAGCAATGAGAATAATGCCGCTATGTGAAAGATTTCTAGCCGAATTTTCCCAAAATTTTCTTCATTTTTCGTACAGAAATTTCTTTACGAGTTCGGGTCAACCACTTCATATAATTTTCTTTGAAGATTCGTAAAAAAGTCGTAACAGAAAGATTTCGTTAAGATTTCGGAAACTTCTTTTTTCGGGGAACGTTACATTACATTACAGTGTCTGAATTTCGTTCTATTCTAGTTTGGTCGCAAATTAAATTATATCCCGAGATTTTGGGCTGAAATAAGGGCTTGGGACACCTGGGTTTCGGGAGATGCCTTAGTTCGGTTTTAGGTAAGAGTTTAATTTTAAATTAATGAATTTGTTTTTCATTAAAATTGTTAAAACTTCTAAAATATGCATGGCATCAATAAAAAAAATCAAATAAGGCTAAACTTCGCAGGCCTGTAGATTGATTCTTCGAGAAAAATATGAACTAATGGTTTGCCATCGTACAGTATGTTTAAATTAAACTTATCCAGCAGCCGGATTCCAACATTCGCTATCGCTAATTCTAATTTTTTTTGGGTTTGGCCGATCGTATCCTCTAATTTGTGATGTGCGTCTTGATGTTGTTAGACGAATGTAGGGATCTACAATTTTTCGTCTCCTCCGGACGTCAAATACACCTTATGAGAAGGCAGAAATAGAAATACACTCGGAGGTCTGGCATTACCTGCCGGAGGCCAACCACCGTTAGAAAAAACTATTTCTAGTTTTAGACATTGCTTGGACCAAATATTGAACCAGGTCCTACAGAGTGGTAGCATGTACCTCTTTTCGCCCGTTTACAGCAACCGCTGAACTTAAAGCAATTCAAAATCCATGCTTCTCTTTGGAAATGCATACCTACATACACCAGGCGACAAATGAAAGGTATAACTTGTCCTGATATAATATTCACAATTATTTTCATGAAACTTTGTTTTATAGCCCACTCAAGTTTAGCCTAAAGAAGAGAGCGAAAGTTGCAACCGGCTAAAAAATCGTGTTGATTTTTGAGATTTTTTTTTGTGTTGGAGACTGCATTTGCCTTTTTTATATTTTTGAATTTTTGTGTGCGTTATATAAAGTGTGAAACTTTGATTTGTATGGTTTATATTACAGAATGAACTATATTTGCATTAATAATTACAGGAAAAAATGCTTCATGAAAATAATTGTCAATATTATATTAAAAGAAAGCGTATACCTTCATTTGTCGCCTAGTGTATTTTTAAATCTTCATGACCATGATACTCAACAATTATTTTTCCTTTCATTTCAGAAAACCGGGCTATGAGGATAAAATTCAATACACAATCGCTGAAAAGAAAGACAAAAAGGGCACAAAGGCACATGTCAATTCTGTATTCTTCAAACAATTACGACAGTTGTTGCGTAAGTACACAAAACTTCACCTTGGCAACAACAACTCTATATTATGGCTATTAATCTAAACGGCTAAATGCCTCGTAACCGCGTAAATCTCATAAATAAACCGTTTTGCCCTATTGTTGCCTTACTTTTATAAATTTTCGATATCGATAAAAACACACGAAATTGCGTTAAAATATTATAGTGTAAGTCATAAAATAACAGTGTCACATTAATATAAAACCGACCAAATCAAAATAACTATAATTTTCAGTCAAATAAACTTAGTTCTCTTCTTCTAAGTTAGGGGCAATCTTACCACCTACCGAATTACGATTATCAAATATGTAATTAAATAGTCGTACCCTCAATAATAATGTAATATTTACAATGTTTTTCATGCTCTAATTAGTTCAAGTTTTGAGCGGCTTAAAATCGCATGGATTTTTAATGTTTTTTTTTTTGCTGACGGCCTTGGCGGTTTTTTTTCACAATAGGTCTTGCGCATATTCTTCCACAAAAAGTTCATGTTTACATGGAAAAAAGTGCAAAACGCCGTCAACAAAAAAATAAATAAAAATCAATGCGATTCTTTAGCCGCTCAATTTTACTAAAATTTTATAATCCTGTTATTTTATAATCCTGTATAAAAATTAAAAAAAAAAAATCTGGTTAACAAGCTCGAAATTTAGATACAAATTTGTGGAGTTTTTCTAAATTCTGTATAAAGTTTGAAAGTGTGATTTATATGGTTTTTGTTAAAGCATGAACCAAGGCACATTAAACAGGTAGTATCAGTAGAGCAAAAACAACATTTGCGTGTATTTTGTTGTTGCTTCTGGTATCGAAAGTGTCAAAAACTGTTCTGAATTTTTTCTTCTAAATCAAAGCGTGCCATGTGAAATACAAAAAATTATAAAAAATAAAAAATTGAAATTGGAAAAAATAAAAATTGATGCAACTTTCTTTCCTAGTAAATTTGTTTGCTTCTCGAAGCATTGATCCATCCTTTGCAAGGCCCAGTAATCAGCGGTCGTGCTGCCGAGTTGGGCGAACGTTCCAAAAGCTGCTATTCAATCGCTTGTTTTGTATGGAAAAAGGTTTCACATGCAAATGGATTTTAACAATTCAGAATTTTTGTGAGAAAAAATTAAAAATATTTGACATTTTCGAGACCAAATAATTTGAAAATAAATCAAATCAGCTGCTCTACTGATACTACCTGTTCAATGTACCTTGGCATGAACCATATTTTTATAAAAAAAATATCAAAAAAAATTTTTGATAGCTTGAAAAACATGGAAATATTCAAAACGAAACACCATTCATCCACTTTTGACCGCCACTGTATGTACATTGTACATACATATGCATGGAAAAATTTAACATGTTTAGCGCTAGGTTTTTTTTTTTTACGTATTTGCTTTGTTTTGTTAAGTCAACCGTGTTTTAGCTGTTCATCGGTCGTTTGGGTAATGCTGCCAGACGTGAATAGGGTTTCGGAATGAGTAGGTCATACCACTGAAGTATTGAGTAAGAATTTTATTTAGCACTTTAAACCAGTAAATTATTGAAGATTGCACGTCAAACGTGAAGAGTGCAAGCAAAAACAAAATTCAAACCGGCGGAATTTTGTGTGTAGCAAAATTTAATTGAGTAAAATTGGAAGATTTACCATCCATCAATCATGACGAGAAGAACAAAACTCGAATATGTACTTAAGTACCTACTTGTATATTTTCCTTTCGTTTCTACCAAAAAATGTCGACTTTTGATTGCCGCTTTATCTTTTCGTGTTCGATTCTAAAATAAAGGCAAACGGTAAGAAAATTTTGTGTTCGTTTCTTAAAATGTCACACTCGTGTAAGGCAAAAACGGCACATTCTCTGCCCTTTGAAGCTTGGTCAGGGGAGATCGTTTCGCTGAAAACCATATGGTTGTTTAAAACGAATATATTATCCAATTAGGGAGCTAGAAAAGGGTAAGAAGGCAAAAACATGCCCTTTTGCAGGGTTGAGTATAACATCAAACACATTTTGCTCCGTGGAAGGCCAACATTTTTTGGGAGAACTAAGATCACTATTAATGTGTTATTTAACCAAACCATGTAAATAAAAACTTCAAACTTTGTACAAAAATTTGAAAAATTCGACAAATAATAAACATTTTTAAACAAAGAAAAATAACCAAAACTTGCTAAAATATTGACCAAAAATTGTCATCTTTCACACAGATTGTATTTAGAGCATAATGAACCATATTTTTGCTATTACCAATCAAAATTCTAAAAAAGCGCATTTTCAACCCACGCTAATAAACACTGATTTATTCAAGTTTCACACACACTCAAAAAACAAAAACAAAAATTCCAAAATCAAAAACAAATAACACCGGGCAACACTGATTTTGATGCGGAAAATGTTAAACCTGTTTTTGATGGACCTTTTTGTGCTGATTACGAATCCGCAAGTGTAAAGCTTCCATCAGCTCCAGATTTTGATAAAAACGAGGTCAAAGCGTCAAAAAATCGCATTTTTTGCAATATTTGAGAAGCTCTAGCAAATAAAAATAAGGTGACAGAGCCTTCCGCTAAAGCATATATTAAAGCTAGAACTATCGACTATACTATGCCACGGCTTTCTTGTGCCGAATTTCCGCTAGGCATTAAAATTACAAAAAATGTATACCGTTTAAAAATGTCATGTCTAAACAGACAAAATGACTGGTTTTATGTACGTAATGGGACTGAAATTTTTTAATGCCCAACATTGTTATTAAAAATGTTGTCATTTAAAGCTTTGTGGAAACTCAGCAGTAGACTTCTTTATTCGAATGATAGAAGATTGTGGAAAAATTAAAATCGTGCGACCTCATTATGAAAAACATAGAATATCAATAGTTAGCTGTCGTCGAACTGAACTATATTTAAACTCATAAGTATGCAATTGTGTGAATATGTTGACACATATGTTTACACATTGATATACATACATAAAACGAGTGCTGCAATGAATATGCATTTACCTGTAACAAATGAAAATTGCACTGAAAGAGGAGGGAATTGGAAATAACATTTTATTAGCATTTTCGGACGAGTACTTTCGAACAATACACACACATACACAAGCACACTTAGGCAAGAAAGCTTTCATAGGAAATAAGTAACTGCATACACTTAAAGCTCGAATGCAACAGCTTGCAATACTTTGCTAGTACAGAGATTTGAGAGAGTAAATATACTTCCGAAATGAGCGTTTTTTACGCCATATATGTACATATTTGATCGCCATAATCCGCACACTGTTCCAGTTCAGCATCTTCTGCGTCTGCGTCTACGCTTCGGACAGCAAATATCCTCAAAATCATCCGACATGCATTCGTGCATGCCCTTGCAGCGGCGTGGCGGCGTGCCGCAACCATTTACATAATGCCACAACATTTCGATGTTCAGCGCCACTTTACGTTCGATGCGTTGACATTTCTTGCGTATCATGTGAAAGTGATCGGTCGCCTGACCGACAAAAGCCAATATCACCAGACTGATCGATGTTGTTGTCACGCCCAATATGAGAGTTTCATAGTTGGCATAGGTCATCGTGGACATGCCCATAACAAGTAGTATAGATTTTATTAAACGCCAAATGAGCTTCTCCAGTGTACACCATACAACAATAGCGCCGAATTCCGTTAGTAAAATGGTGATAATGGTCTCAACGATTACCTGACAGAGGTATGGCAGATGCATATAGCGTACAGGATAGAGGCATAGATCGGAGATTAGATCCAAAAGTGAAATGAGAAATATCCAACTCGCAAGCGAGGGCGCAGGTGAGCAAAGACCCTTTTCCTGCTCGAAGAAAAAGGATGTGCGCAGCACAATTTGAAATAGACCAGCGATAACAATGGCTGTTGTGACTGTCATTTGTACTTTTATCTGTAAATGGTAATAGTTGACCAGGAATAAAATAAGTTAACAAAATGTTATGTACCTAAACTTACTTTGATTTTGACAGATTTCCTAAAATTAAAATCAATTAAAATTTTTTTAATTATGAATTTTTTTAATTTTTTTAGACACAACAATTTTTTTTATAACAAACAAAATTGAAAACTGAATGTTTTTATTTTGATAAGTTTTTCAAAGTTGATGTTAAATAATTATGTAATTTTAGTTGGAGATAAAAGGGTAAAACTCATATATGTAACATGATTCAATAATAAAAGGTTTGCTTTAAAAACAGTTTTCTCGCTCCCTCTTGACAAAGTCGGCTCCCTTAGCAAGGCACCGTGTGTGGGTTCGTGTGTGTGTTCAAAGCTTTTATAANCATATATGTAATACTCCTATATTGGCAGTAAGAGCTAGTACCGTCCGAAAACACTACAGTACAGATATATCAATAAACACGTACGAAAGAAAAGGAACACATACGTTTATAAATAAACATGTACACGACACATTTACAAAAACGGCACTCACGTACACAATACATTGACAAAAACAGTACTAGACTGTCTCGCTTTGATTTCGGAATGCTTACACATTGAGATGTTAGCTTACTACCAATATAGAAGTATTACATATATGTGAAAACTGCACTTTAGCTTAGGGCCAATTTCATAATTAAACACTTAAAGCTCCTTTTGCAAAAGTTTCCTTTATGTTAAAGTGTCCTTTAAGTTTACTTTAAGCGCGAAGTGTTTTCGTAATACAATAGCAAATTAATAATAATAAAAGGTTCATTTCAATGAAAATAACAAAGTAGGCAATGCTGATCTTGGCAAAATTGTATCAGCTGATTGTCATAAAGGCGCTGGCCCAATGCAGGCTTGCTTTGCGTGCCTTGCTGACTTTAGTTTGTTTTGATTTAGTTTGAAAACTTGTGTGGCCGAATGACGGATTGAAACGCTGTCAAAGTAACCAGCTGTCTGGTTGAAAAGTCAATGTCTGTTCCCTTAACATTAATTATTATTTCCTAGAAAACTCTAGAAGATGTATCAAAAACTTTCTGACTTATTTTTATATTAATGCGAAATAATGTTTGTATCTAAAAGAAATTGTAATAATAATACATACATATGTATGTATATCTACAGTTAATAAAAAAACTATAACTTAAAAAAGCGAATTACTTGAAGAAAAGAGCTATAAGAAGTTTTTTCTTCTCGTGTAAAAAGTGAGCTTTGCAATTTTTTACTATAATATAACGATATGTTAAATTTGATTTCGAATTGCTTCTTTTTTAATTAAGTAAGCAAATTTTTGTTTGAATTTACGTATTTTGAACAGGAACATGCCTCTTTGTCAAAAGCCTACAAAACGCTTTCAAATAAAACATTTGTCTATTGAAAACTTTGAGGCGCTTAAAGAAAGTGAAGAAAAGCTGCCAATTGGCCAGCCTTTATACATTTTAGTATATTCCAAATAATTTTTGACACTTCTCGGAGTGAAGCAAGCAAAGCAAGCCTGCATTGGGCCAGTACCTTAAGTATTTAATTATACTAAGAAAATTACATACTTTTTTTCTTGCAAAAGGAAACTTTATGTCATTTAAATTTCCATTCTGGGTATTTAACTAAAGAGCCTTTATGGGCACCTTTATTTTTAAAGTGGCTTTATGAAATCGATCAGCAAAATAAAGCATCCTTTAAATTGTAAAAGATTCTTTAATTTCATTACGAAGTCGGCCCTTACATGGCCAAAAATGGACGAGAGTGATATCAATAGACGCGTTTTAACGCCAATAATAATAATCCGATAGCGGAAATAAAATATTTTTTAATTAATTAAAGAGTTATTTGCAAAACACAATTGCACTTTTATTTGATGCATTTCACTGAAGTAAATGGAGTAAATGAACACAGCCTAACACGTATTTATTTGTTTTTGTACAAATGAGAAGTATTAATTGAAACATATGTGCAAAATTATTTATTTAATTACAATATTCCGATCTTGAAAATTCCGCACAACAATCTTGCGCAGGTAATAGGTGTATTCGCTTATTCTTCCAGCACAAAACTCTCAACAGCAAAATTCTATAGAATTTTTATGTGTTCTCTCTCAAGCAGTGAAATGTTTGCAAAAGTACGCGAGCGCAAAACTTGCAAGTTTCACGACAGCTGATCGGAATTTTGTTTACATACAAAAGTACAAATAAGAAAACATTAAAAGAATATAAATTAAAAGTTTACAATATTCCGATCTTGAAAATTCCGCACAACAATCTTGCGCAGGTAATAGGTGTATTCGCTTATTCTTCCAGCACAAAACTCTCAACAGCAAAATTCTATAGAATTTTTATGTGTTCTCTCTCAAGCAGTGAAATGTTTGCAAAAGTACGCGAGCGCAAAACTTGCAAGTTTCACGACAGGTGATCGGAATTTTGTTTACATACAAAAGTACAAATAAGAAAACATTAAAAGAATATAAATTAAAAGTTTGCCTGAAGCAGTTTGCTAAGCAAACGTAACAAAATTAGTATTTGCATTTTTTTCCAAACATTTGGAGTTCTTATAATTAATTTTAGAAGTAAAAACCAATAAAATAAATTTCATCATGTTCATAAATTGCCAATATGTAGATGATTTTGATCAGCTGTGTTTCTTGCTGGCAAGTTGCTGCTGGTAAAAAATTTTCCAGCAGAAACCAGCGGATTCTCATCAAAATGAAATGTCAGTTTGGTCTCTCAATTTCCCCTACTTTACTGGATTTTTGTGTACGCGAACAGCAAAACGCGAATCCGGGAGCGGAGATAAACTGTTTTTAATTAATTAAAGAGTTATTTGCAAAAAACACTTGCACTTTTCGCACTCTCTTCTGATGTATTTCACTCAAATAAATTTAGTAAATGAACACAAAATTAATTGTTTATTTAATTGCAATATTCCGGTCTTGAAATTGCAATTAAATAAACAATTTTGCACATACATATGTTTCACTTAATATATCACAAATGTACAAAAACAAATAAATACATGTTAAGCTGTGTTCATTTACTAAATTTATTTGCGTGAAATGCATCAAAACAAAGTGCGAAAAGTGCAATTGTTTTTTTTTTTGCAAATAACTCTTTAATTAATTTAAAAGGTTAATTTCCGATCTCGGATTATTATTATTGGCGTTAAAACGCGTCGATTGACACCACTTTTTGTCCATTTTTGGCCTTGTAAGCTAAAGTGCACTACTAATATAATAATAGATTGGCGCTTACACATTTGTTAGTGTTGCGTGCGCCTTAATGTTGTCACACAAAGGGGAGGGACCTACCGTTTTACGTCGACTCCGAACGGCGATTGTATTTTTATGAGAAGTTATTTTCCATGGCAGAAATACACTCTGAGGTTTGCCGTTGCCTGCCGAGGAGCGACCCTTGTTAAGAAAAAACCTACTACCGATAAAAAAAATCAGCTCGTGAATTTGAGGGCGATTCGTGATTTGGAAAAATTATCCCAAAAACTTACGTAAAAGTCTATTAATGAGTAAATCCTAAAATTACGAAAAACTTAACCGTTTTTGGCGTTAAAACCGCCTAAGATATTTAGCCGAGCCCAATAAAGCGCTGCAGTCGTTTCCCTTCTGCGCCAAATGGAAATGCATGCTGAAGCCAGGTCTTTGTCCAACTGGTCTTCCCATCGCCTTCGCCTTTCTACCAAGAACGGGTTGCGCTTTTAATACGTTCAGGACTTAAATATTTGCGTCCATTCGTACAGTCAGACCCTTGCCGTTGGGCAACTGTTTTTTTTTTTACTTCGTTGCACTATATTTTCTACGATACATTTAGTAAATGTTCCGTAAATGTATTTTTGTCCTCAGATATTTGCCATTTTCGACAGCAGTGGCTTCTTGCGTTACTACCCACTTGTCTAGCTTCTGACGATTATAGCCAATTTATACAAATGGGTCTTCGGTAACTTTTCCAAATAAACATCAGCAGTCACTGCTCTATGACGAACGAACGAGACGCGAGCCGAGACTCGTCTTCGTATTCGTTCACGATACCACTCGCAGAGATGCATCGTATGCTTATTTACGTCGCCTCGAGGCTTGCTCCATTGAAAATAGGCCTGACAATTTTTCAAGCATGCGGCATTTTACGTTAGAAGTGGCTGCGGCTCTCAGCTTAGGATATAGAATATAATTGGGGTATTCACGAAAGTGTCGTAAGTGTCGTATTGTTGTATGTCGTAAACTCTAAAAACCATAAATATATATTAAGGGGGTTCGCAAAGTACCATAAAAGTCATATCATGAATGTTTGTAGTGCTAAAAAATAGTTTGTTGACTTTTCAAGTTCTCTAAACATTTATTTGAGCTTTCAATGTTTACGACATACAACAATACGAGACTTACAACACCGTTGCGAATCTCTCAAATAAATTTCATTCACTTGAATCCATGAGCCAGATATTTCAAACTATCTTGGATGTTAGCGGAATGACGCTCAATGACGAAGAATATATCTAATTTAATTATGGGAAGACATAGATTTGCAAAAAATGGAACCACTGGTGGCGCTGATGTCAAAATAAAAAGTATGTTCGACATAAAATACATGTTTTCTCCGCGTTTAAAATTCGTTTAAAAATAATATTGACCAAAACTTTTTCAATGGAAATTTTAGTAACGTAATTTCAGGTAACATCACGTCAGATAGTTAAGATGATTGAATAAAAATCAGAAAAGATTTCTACATTTAAAAACTTGGAAAATTGACCTTAAATATTTAACACTAATTTAATAGCCTTGCCCAATTCGCAGAGATTTGCAATTTTTTTTACTGAATAAATGGGTAGGTTCAGAAGGCGCAGCAGTTGAGCGCAACCGTTGCTAAAAAAATCAGTGATCGTTATGCGTCTTCTGAACGACTTCATACATTAGCTGTCAAATTCAACTCTCAAAGGTACACACCAACATGTTGTCACAAATGATCAGAAAAATATTACGATCATCAACACGCAACTATTCAGTTGATCAGAAGTATTCAACAACGCGTTCAGAAGGTGCAATCGCACCAGTTACTGAGCTGTTGCGCCTTCTGAACGTGCCCAACGTAAATGTAGAAAAACCTTTTTGAAATTTTGACATTTTTTTTTTTAATATTTTAGCATACAAATGTCACGTTACGCCAGATTGGAAATGCCCTTATAAAATATGTATAATATATTAAGGATTTGTGTATCGCTTTGAAATAGATGACCTACGTTTTGCTAGTGTCTTAAGATCTTTCCTCCAACAATAAGTGGTACATCATCAATAAAGGCAACTACTCAACAGCCCCTTATTTCTAAAGCCGCTAGCAAGTTTTTAAGGCCTAAGGATCGTAAAATATGCTCGTGGCCACGCAACACTTACCACCATTTTTTTTGTAGAATTTTGCAAGTTAATACAAAAAAACAAATAGTTTGTTTAAAAATATACCAACCAAAACTATATAAATAAAAGTTACAAACTTGTACAAAATTTAGAAAAAATCATTAAATTTTCATCAAAATTTTAAACTTTAATAATTCACCCGAAAATTTGTCATCCGCCCATAGTAAAACCATGGAAACCAAAAGTGAACCGGTTCGGGAAACTTTAATTCATGATAAAGCTGATTATTCACCAACTTTTCCCACACAACTGTGTTACCGATTCACACACGCCCATAAAAAACATTCGTTACAGGAAAACACTACACAAGGCAAAAAAAGTTTCGAAAATAACCGGTGATTTTCACATTATTATTTTTCTAAAAATTTGTATTGAAAAGTTTGAAATTTTGATGAGCACCCGACGAGTTTTCCTCAATTCCCAGAAGTTGCTAAAGAGGTACAGTTACTCAAGTTGTACAATTGCCACATAACCAGATTTCCGAAGAAAGGTCTGTATCAGTTAAAAACTCAACTGAAATTGAGCTTACTTGAATTAGTGTGGGATGTTGTCGAGGTAGATGGCAAGGCTAGTTTTGCATTTTCTCTGTATTCTACGCTCTCTGAGCAATACGCCTCAATATTTGAATAAGCTAACAAAAAAATATAATTGCTACAAGAGCCTGAGTCTTTAAATCTAGCATCTTCAGTTTGTTTTATTAACTGTTTTTCTACCATTTCTATTCTCTTTTATTTTTAGCAATACTGGTACCTCGCTTTTGGAGTGTGGAAACTGGTCTATTATTTTTGGTGGCCGCCTCGCTAATTGGACGTTCCGTAAGTGATATTTGGATGATCCAGAATGCAACAGTAGTGGAAAGCACTATCATACATATGAACAAAGCTAAATTTAGATCGGCATTGCTAAAATATCTCGCCGCTTTGCCAATGGTAAGTAATGAGTAAATTATTCTTTACTGTTACAATAATATTGTATATTTTCTTCTTTATAGATATCTGTGGTCACGAACATCCTAAAGTGGAGCTTGGGTGAATTGAAATTGAGATTCCGAACAAATTTGACACATCATCTGTACAATCAGTACTTATGGTAATTATGCAAGTACATCTAACTGGTAACGCATTTTTGCGCTATGCCTGCTTATAATTTCTCGCGGTAAAAATTTTGTTAATTTAATCAGGCATAGAGAAAAAAGTTTTACATTGCATGAAAGTCGGGCCTATGCAACCGAAATGACCAAGATTTATATCTTGCGTAGGGACTGTAACTCCAACAGCATTCCCAAAAACTCGGGGTGACTTTTATGCCGTTTCAACTACAACAAAATGCATTATGAAATGTGTAAATTTAGAAATACCATTTTTACCCCATTTTCCAGCGGTTACACATACTACAAAATGTCAAATTTGGATAATAGAATAGCGAACGCCGATCAACTTCTTACCACTGATATCGATAAGTTCTGCGAAAGTGCCACAGACCTGTACTCGAATATCAGTAAGCCCGTGTTGGATATTTTCATTTACGTCTATCGTTTGACGGTCAATCTGGGTGGCAAGGTAAAACCGATTGATAGCCTAGACCAGCGAATGGCCGGCCATGTTTTTATGCAACCCCTTTCCTTCTTCTTCAAACTAGACACCTTCAATACTTATGCTGTATTTGCTGTTCGCTGGCATCGTTCTAACACGGTTGCGACGCCCAACCGGACGCCTTACAGTTGAGGAGCAAAAATTGGAAGGTGAATTCCGCTACGTGAATAGTCGTCTCATAACGAACTCCGAAGAGGTAGCCTTCTATCAGGGCAATACACGCGAGAAGCTAACGCTGCTGGCCAGCTATTCGAAATTGCGTGCACATCTGCGTAAATTCCTGGAATTCCGCGTTAGCATGGGCATTGTTGATAATATTGTGGGAAAATGTGAGTATAATTAGCAGCGTATGTTAAAAAATCGATCAACTTTTTTGTTTATTTTTTAATTACTGCCATTTTAATAAAAAATTTCGTTAGATTTTGCGTCAATTGTCGGATTTTACGCTGTTTCAATTCCTTTCTTTGCGGAAAACCATCCCTTACTGTCGGGCGAAAAAAGCGGACAGCGATTGCAGGTGCGTTGAGATTTTAAGTTTTTAACTTCAGAATTGCTTAACTACTCCAGGCACTTTTAATTTATATAATATTCGTGTAATATGCATATTTTGCACCAGCTACTTTCAGTCTTTATTATATCCTGCAAATTTCCACACTCTTTATTGCCGCTTTATTTAGTCTTAAAAATCGTAGTTTATTTAAATATACGTTACGCTTCTTGTTTCCCAGGCTTACTACACTTACGGCCGCATGCTGGTAAAGTTAGCTGAGGCTATTGGCCGTTTGGTTTTAGCTGGACGTGAAATGTCTCGCTTAGCTGGTGAGTTGCTTTATTCCTGCTAATTAACTGCTTTGCGGCATTGGTAACTGCTTATTACACCCCGATTTCTCCTCAAGGTTTTACGGCGCGCATGACCGAACTAATCAAAGTTTTGAGTGATCTAAATAAAGGACGTTATGAACGCACAATGGTGAATAACATCGTAAATGGTGATAATGGTTTTGGGCCAAATAAAGGTGTTATGACCTTCGTTGATAATATCATCAGATTCGAAAAGGTGCCACTTGTTACACCCAACGGCGATCTGTTGGTCAAGGAGCTAACCTTCGAAGTTAAGTGAGTAGCAGAATATACCCCAAAATATTTTTCTTCACTCAACTCAACTCCTTTTAGATCTGGCATGAATGTGCTGGTTTGCGGCCCAAATGGCTGTGGTAAGTCGAGTTTATTCCGCATACTCGGTGAGCTGTGGCCAACATGGGGTGGCAAATTGACGAAGCCGCCGCGAGGAAAGCTCTTCTACATCCCCCAGCGTCCATACATGACACTGGGCTCGTTGCGTGATCAGGTAAGAGCTGCTATGAATTTGCTATTTTAATGAACAGTAGAGGAGCTCACGATTTGTAGCATTGCAGTTTAGGTGTAAAGTTGTTACGTAGCAACCTAGCATCTAAAATGCTACTCGCTCGCTTTGCGACGCGTTAAAGCCACTTTTGCGTTATTGCTGGTGGAAGTTGTGTTAGAAGTTTTTTTAAACAAACCTTAAAACTCTTTTTATAATTAAATTTCGGTTTTTGAGTGGAAAAAGTAAAAAAAATATTAAAAATTTATGTCAACTAAAGCGCTGAACCATACGGGACTTCTCCTTCTACGTTCCCACGACAGTCGGGTGTTCTACGTAACCGGATTACATCTGGCCAAGGACTGTCACTCCAGCAACAATCCCCAAAAACTATTTGTGGAATTTGTATGCTGGTACAACAACAGACTTCTCCTCCACTCAGAAACGGCTGGACGGATTTTGATGAAATTTGGCACGCGGATCGCATATAACTCCGAATATTATTTGGAATATTTTTAGGTTTTTGAAAAGATGGCTCCCTAGGAATATAGTAACACGGGTGAAAGAGAAAGAAAAGTTTCACTTCAGTTGGGCGTGGGATCCGCATTAGGGTGGTCCAAAAAAAAGTGATGCACTCACCCTCTAGGAATGCTCTATACCGAAAAAAATTTACCTGTTTTTTATATTTCAATCGAAAAATATTTAGCATCAACGCTAGCTAGCAACTTCATTTTTACTTGACCAAGATGCATACATATTAGGGATGCCAATCCGGGATCACGGCGTTTTTGAGGTCCCGAAAATCCGTGTCTGGGAAAATTTTTCCCAGCAAGAATTTGCATGCAGGATTGTGGCACACGGTTGCATTTGTTTCAACATTAATTTGAATCAACAGTTCGTTAAATTGATGTAGGAAATCCGACGTGACTTCCACAAAGAAATTGAAGCGTATGTTGAAGAAAGTCAGAATAAGGACACATATACGTATAGGTCCTGTTTTGGTTTCCACCTGAAATAATTTAAAAAATTTATTATGGTCGAAATGCAACCGTAGACGCCAATTGGCAGTGAAGCTTGCAAATGTTTGCTAAATCCTGTTCGCGCAAAACTTAGTAAGTTTCTCTCTTTGGGAGAGTAAGATACCTTATTCTCTGAATCTTGTTACTGGTTAATTCTTACTGGCATTTGCATAGCGAACAGAGCTAATGTTTCCAGCAGAAATTTGCAGCTCTCTATCACATTTTTCTCTCTCAATTTCTTTGCAAGTTTTTTGGGTACGAGAACGCAAAACCAGTAAAAGTTTTCTAAAACTTTTGATAGTTTTGGGTACGAGCACACTCCTTATGTTAGGAACACTTTCTTTTAATTATATAAATAATACAATTAAATTTTTTTCTTGCCTAGGTAATCTATCCACACACACGCGATGATATGATACGCAGCGGCAAGAGCGACGAAGACCTAATGAAATATTTAGACATCGTACAGCTCACCTATTTGGAGCAGCGTGAGAATGGTTTGAACGCCATTGAGGATTGGATTGATGTCTTATCTGGTGGCGAGAAGCAACGAATTGCTATGGCGCGTCTCTTCTACCACAGTCCACAATTTGCCATTCTCGATGAATGCACGAGCGCGGTTTCAGTCGATGTAGAGGGTCAAATGTACAGTTATTGCCGCGAGGCGGGCATTACGTTATTCACAGTGTCACATCGCAAATCGCTGTGGACGCATCACGACTACTATTTGCAGTTCGATGGACGTGGTAGCTACGAATTCGGTCCAATTGATCAAGCGAAAGAGCAGTTTGGCTCGTAAAAATTTAAAATAAAGCAAGGACAAATATAAACGACATTAATTTATGTAGATAAAATACATAGTAACAATAAAGTCAATCAGTAAAAATGGTAGCATCGCCAGCGTCACCTATGTACACCTACATACATAAACTGTTCATGTGGGAACAAATAGTATTGCCGAAATGATTCCATTTGTACGATAATTTTTGTTTGTATTGTATTATTTGAGGGCTGTAAGCGCATACTTAAGCACTTTTTGTGGTTGTATGTGCTTGAATCGTTGCGGAAATCGAAAGAACATGTTGTTATAAAGTTTTAAATACATTTTATTGTTAGGTGTCTAGGTGCGAAAATGAAAACTTGTTTAGTATATTAAATGGTGATCTTTTATAGCTTAAACTATTACTTTATTTTACTTTAATTGCTTTATTATAACATTTCGTTTTTGCTTAAATAATATTTGATTGCCTAAGTTGTGTGTATGTATTTGTAAATCGGTGCTGGAGGCAAAACTGCAGATGCGGGAATAATGTACTGCAACATATTTTATTGTGTTTGTTTATTTTTTAGTTAACTATTATTTAATTCAGTTCTTAAGCTTATTTTCAAAGGGTAGTCATGTTAACTCGTAAACCTCTCGCATATTTTCACATTTGATATCATTCGATCTTTTTCTCTAGACAAAAGAATTTTGAATTAAATACATATTTAAATTTCTTATATAGAATTTGATAACCGCCTTTTGGATCTGCGCAGAGTATATTAGTTTTTATGCATACCCTAACAGAGTAAATACATGTGTATTTAAATTTGCTTTTGAAAACCGCTATCAAATTTTAATCCATAAATTATGCAACAACAGAGAAGAAAATACATATAATTGTACATATATAGCTCTTCTTGTATGCATACATGTATGTACATACATATATATAAACAAATCAATTTGTGTAAGCCATAAAACGATAAATAAAAGAAATTTTATGAAAAATTTTAGTTGTAATAACTTTTATTAATTAATTTTTTCCAGAAAATATCCCATGTGCTCTGCGATCAATACCAATCAATAAATATAAACTAGAGTGCCAGCCACTGTCGAAATTCGACCGTACTTCTAGTTTTTTAACACCCTTGGAGAGGTTTTCTAACTTAGCCCGTCGTTTAACTTATGATGTGCAAAATTACTTGCCGAAAACTCTCCTGCTTTCGAACTAAACCTTAACTTGAATTTTTTAAATCTTTGAAGGTCGTAGGCAGGACTTGAAATATAACAGATAAATTCCAGTTTGTCGATAAATTTCGATAATTTGATACATATCGGTAATTCAATGAATTTCAAAAACACTAAAGTCCCTAAACATAACAATAAATATTGACAACTTGATAAATTTCATTAACTTGACAAATTTCGCTAACCCATACGTTTTTTATAGCTCGATATCTATCCGCAAATTTCGACAACTAATTTTCTGTGTCTATAAATTTCGACAACTCAATTAACATTGGTCAATTTCAATAATTTTACACGTTGTTATAACTCAATAAATATGGACAACTCGATAAATTTCGATATCTATAACTTCGATGACTCGATAAATTTCGGTAATTGGATAATTTTCGATAACTAAATTTTTTATAGCAGAATTTATTTCAATTCTTATCGAAAAAAAAAGTGCACCTGAACCACATTGAAGAAGTGGAAGTTACGTTACTTATTTAGAAGTTGTGAATAAAACCACAGGGTAGTTAATATAATTTTATAAGCTCAAGGTTATATCTTATCTTTTTTCTATCCTTATCCCAACCCAGACCCGTCGAGAGGGTAGGAATGGGGGAATCCTCCTCGGGTCCGGGCTTTCTAAGGGGCCTGAAATATCAGAGCCATAGCTTGTTATTAGTATTTTAAAATTTAATTGTGAAAGAAAACAATGCGCATGATTTCAGTAATCACGTTAATCAATACAGAAACAAATATTTTTCCATGTAATGCGATTTCATTTGATGTCAAATCATGTGATGCCATGTTATATGATGTTATATCATGTGAAGTCATGTCATACCGTATGATGTCATATAATATGATGTCATATCATGTGATGTCATGCCATGTGATATCGTATTATGTGATATCATATTATGTGAAGTTATGTCATGTGATGCAATATCATATCATGTGATATAATGTGATGCGCTATCATATAAGGTGATCACATGTCATGTGTCGAATATTAAATCGATAACGCTGTCGATAACTTTGTCGATAAATATACCAATAAAAATATCAATGAATATATCGCAAAATATAACGATTCCAAAATCGATTTATTTATCGTTAAATATATCGATAACAATATCAATAACATTTTCGATAATAATATAGATTATTACACCGATAACAATATTTATAACGTTATCGATAACTATATCGATTATTTTATCGATAACAATATCGGTTGTATTGATAGAAGTATCCATTATTGTATCGATAACAACATCGATTATTATATCGATGGCAATATTGATTATTATATCAATAGCAACATCAATCTTCATCCTCATATTTTTTTTCATATTTATCTTTATTTTTGCATATTCCAGTTCAACTTTACCTTATAGTGTTCAAATTAACCTTGATCGTCGTTTTATCCTTTATCTTTCCGCATATTTGTTTTTGTTTTTATTTTTAAATTTACCTTTAACCTTTTCTTCGTCTATGTACGTACTGTCCTTTACTTTCCTTCCTGTATTGGGCTTAATCTCAGTCTTATTCTTAAACCCCTTATTAGCACTTTTTTGTTTTATAGCGAGGTTTTAGTGATTTATTTCTAGAATTAAATATAAAATGGAAGGTAATTAAAATACTCGTATTATATTGTGTAATGCACATAGAGAATCTATTTGTTTATGCTATTACTTTCATCATTATTTAGTACGATTAGCTGCATATTTCGGGATGGCCACGTGCATGGTAACTTCACAAAGATGTTGTTTGTTTGTTCCAACCACTTTTCTGCCTCGGGACGGATGTGTCCAATCTAAGCGAAACGCAGCACCACAGCAGTAGTGCGAGTAGTTTACATATCTATGTACCTGTAAACTATAACAAGGAGCTCTAAGAATTAGGAAATTTTTCCACCCTCTTCATGACTACACATGTGTTATCACAAATATGTTTATGCTTCTATGGTGACTTTCATTAACGGTAAGCATTCCTTTGTTCATATTTCCACTAAAGAGGATCCAAATTAAAGCAACATCCAAATATCTAAATTTCCAGATATAATAATATTTCATGTAACACTGCAGATAATGCCAAATGTTTTAGCGGTAAGGTAATTTAAGGTATTTTAAATCAATACACACTTATTAACAGCTCTACTAATACGATTAAATAAGTAAATTTACCTTGTGTGTTATTATTTTTCAATGCACACAACATTCCTTTAAAAAATATTAAAATTTCCATAACAATACTTGAGCAATTTATGAAAAGTATAACCGTCATAAGCACAGTTTATTTCAAGTGAAACTACCTTCTTTTTTGTATCATGATTGCTAGGACGTTAATTGAAAAATAATATAAAAAATATAATTTTGCATGAATGAACTTCCAAGATTTGCTTCTTTGTTAATGTTCAAAATTTCAAGGGGTAAAAATCGTCCGATCACCTGTTAAGAAGATAGAAAACCGACAGAAATGTTTTTTTTTTTGATTTTGTGAAATGAGTTAATATCGCTTTGATAACTTCCAATAGTGACGACGAAGTGACATCCAGCGTTGCCGAAAGCTTTTGCTGAAACATCGCCAATTTACCCTAAAAAAATTAATTTCGGCCAAAAAAACGTATCGAGCCCTAACCGCCAAAATAACGTAAGCGCCATTTTTTTTTTTAATTTTCTTTTTAATGCAGAAATGCATCTAGATGCTCAAGGAATATTTCTGCATCAAAAAGAAAATTTTGAAAAAAATATCGCTTACGTTATTTTGGCGGTTAGGGCTCGGTATAATTTTTCTTTATTTTTACAAAATAAAAAAATACAAACAAAATTACATAAATTACATAACATTTCAAAACCGAAGCGAACCGACATTCAATATGGGTTAATAAGAGGAGATTTGTAATTGTTAACGGCAAATTACAATTTAATACACAACTGCTTTTAAATTGTTCTACTTCACTGTTTTAAAGTTTTTGAAGATTTTGATCCAGTTTTAAAGTGTAAAATTTGCATTTATTAACTGATAGACGATTTTGACTGAACAAATTCCTGCTATTTTTCTGCCTTTTCAAGTCAGTGTCAACAGTGCAAATTAACGGTTTGGTTAAAATTCGAGAACTAATTTCATATAACTAAAAGCACGGTTGTAGAACAAAACTAAATAAATGCCTGGTTATATTTTGGATTACGTTTTCCTTTAAAAATATTGTTACATATATACAACATACATATCGTCGTTTAAAGTAAAAAACCGCGTATCGTCATTCTGCAAAACCGCGTAACGGAACTTTGCTGCCAAAAATTGGATTTGTTCACACAACCTCTTGGCTCAATCCTTATCCATTCGTCCTGAAATATATTAGCCAGAAATGCGACTGCTTTATAAAAAAGAGAGCAATTTTTAAATATTAGTGTTTTTACTCTCTAGAAAATAATTTATGCAACCTCACATACGCGGTTTTGCATTTTGTTGATACGCGGTTTTGTGCTTTAAACGACGATACGTATGTAATTAGGTGGAAAAACTAATATAAAAAATCGTCATTACGAGTGGAAAAATCGTCAAAACGTCATTGAGGTAAAAAAAAAACGTCAAAATGACGACGAAATCGTCAATTCGACAAGGCTGTTGACATCATGGCGATGGGCAATACAATTCTCTTCCAATTGCTGGCAGGGAAGATTCCACATTAATTTTGTCTATTATTCAACAAAACTGATTGAACGTTTTTTTGTAAAGGAAATTGCCTATGCATGTATGTACATGTTGTGAAAGCCCATGATTCAATAATAAAAGGTTTGCTCAGAAAACAGTTTTCTCGCTTCCTCTTGACAAAATCGGTTCCCTTAGTAAGGCACTGTGTGTGTGTGTGCAAAGCTTTTGTAAGGGCGTTAAGGGAGTGTCAAATTTCTAATGTCAATAAAGAGCAAACCTTTAATTATTGAATCATGGTGAAAGCCTACATTCTGAGCTTTCCAAACGTATTTATAAAATTATATGCAATTAGTAGTTCCGAAGATATATTTACGGGATTAAGTGAAGAAACCTCAAATATACCACTTTTAACCTAGTATCGCACCTGTGGTGCGCAATAGACCTCCCCCCCCCCTCGCCGAACCATTATGTAGTCATTTTAAGGCGTTCTATAGTTTAAACCCATAAAATACTTTTTTCCGGCTAACTTGTTTGAGTCGCGCCACTGTGCGCCATCTGCTGTTTATAAAAAAAAGAACCAAGTATTTTTACACATGCATTTTCGTTTATTTATACTTTAAATATATTCAGCGAAATAAATGTATACAACTTTTTTATATTTTTGTTATATTTATTTAGGGCCGCTAACTTGTCTGTTTTAGAGTATAGTCAAATCCTTAATTAAACTTAACTACAGAAAATGCCATAAAAATCTCTCAATTTAATTTCAACTATTGATTTAACCATACTTTAAAATAGATAAGTTGACGGCCCTTAGTGTAATGCAGTTGAGGCTCAAGTAATTATACAAATTGTAGGTATGTATTTACATATTTTTATAACTTTTTTGCTATTATTTTTGTTGCTCTTTATAAATTTTAAATGTAAGTATATGTATTTTCCATAATTTTTGAATTATTATGTACGAACATTTTTAAAATTTTCTAAAGT